AGTGGAGGAAGAAGCAAATGAAGCGCGAGAGAACGAAGACGATGAAGAGGAGGGAGGAGAAGAAGAGGAGAAGGAGGAGGAGGAGGAGGAGGAGGAGGTAGAAAATGACCAAGAAGAGGAGGAGAAGTGGAGGAAGAAGAAAACGAAGAGGAGGGAGAAGAAGAAGAGGAGGAGGAGGAGGAGGAGGAAGAAGCAACGCACAAGGAAGATGGATGTTCAAGAGAAGAAAAAAAAAAATTCGGCTAATACGTCGGCTATGGCTAATGGACGAGGAGGAGAAGAACATGAGGAGGAGAAGGATGATGAGGAGGAAGAAGACGATGACAAAGAAGAGGGAAGAAGAGGAGGAGGAGGAGGAGGAGGAGGTAGAAGATGATGACGAAAAAAAGGGAGGAAAAGGATAGGAGGAAGAGGGGGAGAAAGAAGACGACGAAGAGGAGGGAGGAGAAGAGGGCGAGGAGGAGGAGGAGGAAGAGGAAGCAGCGCACAAGAAACGTGGATTTTCGGGGGGAGAAAAAAAAAACGGCTACGGCAAACGAACGAGGACGAGGAGAAAAGGAGGAGGAGGAGGTAGAAGATGATGAAGAAGAGGAGGAGTGAAGGAAGAAGAAAACGAAGAGGAGGGAGGAGAAGAAGAGGAGAAGGAGGAGGAGGAGGAGGAGGAGGAAGAAAAGCACAGGGACGGCGACGTGAAAGCCTAAGCAATGGAGGTAGTCGACGAAGAGGAGGAGGAAGAGGAAGACGAAGTAGAGGAGGAGGTTGGGGCGACGAAAAACGAGGAAGAAGAAGAGAAAGAAGAGGAGGAGGACGGCGATGAAGAAGAAAAAGATGAGAAGGAGGGGGAGGGGAGCGACGGCGGGAGGATACTCTGTAACGTTTTTTTTTTTTTTTTTTTATTAATCAATCAATCAATCAATCAATCAATCAATCAATCAATCAATCAATCAATCAATCAATCCAATCAATCGATCAATCAAATTGATTAATTCATTCGGATCTTGATTTTCAAAACAAGATCCGATTGAATCAATCGATTTGATTGATCGATTGATTTGATTGATTGATTGATTGATTGATTAATCAAGATCCGATTGAATCAATCGATTTGATTGATCGGTTGATTTGATTGATTGATTGATTGATTGATTGATTGATTGATTGATTGAGGAGGAGGAGGAGGAGGAGGAGGCAGAGGAGGATTAGGAGGAAGTGGAGGAAGTGGAGGAAGTGGAGGAAGAGGACGAGGAGGAGTTGAAGGAGGAAGAAGAAGAAAAAGAGGAAAAGGAGGAGGAGGAAGAAGAGGGGGAGAAGAGGAACACGAGGAGGAGGAGGAGGAGGAAGGAGAAAATGAAGAGGCGTGGAGGAGAAAATGAGGAGAAGGAGGAGGAGGAGGAGGAGGAGGAGGAGGAGGTAGAAGATGACGAAAAAGAGGAGTGGAGGAAGAAGAAAACGGCAAGGAGAATAAAGAAGAAGAAGGAGGAGTAGGAGAAGGAAGAAGAAGAAGAGGAGGAGGAAGAAGAAGAAGAAGAGGGGGAGTGGAGGAAGAAGAAAACGATAAGGAGGAAGAAGAAGAATGATGAGGAGTAGGAGAAGGAAGAAGAAGAAGAAGAGGGGGAGGAGGAGGAGGAGGAGGAGGAGGAGGAAGAAGATAATGGTGAGAGGGAGGAGGAAGAGGAGGACGGCGACAAGGAGGAGAAGAACGGGAAAGAGGAAGAGGAAGAGGACAAGGAGGAAGAGGAAGAGGAGGAGGAGTACTAAGAGGAGGAGGAGGTGGAGGGTGGTTAAGCGGGACGACTTGTCTTACCTGGTGGGGGAGAACGAGGCTAAGCGATGGAAGGCGAAGGCGGCGGCAATGCTCGAAGCTCGGGGACGCGACGGCCAGCAGGCAGCGCGGCCGTGGGGCGACGGGCCGTTGGTGGGGAGGGACGGGCAGGCCTCAGGCACTACACCAAGCACAATCGCAGACGGGGGCTGCGCGAATTCGAATT